ATATGGGCCATTCTACTATATACATATTTCTGAGAGCACTCTACTGGAGTATATAGTATGTTCTAAGCAAAAATGAACATAAGCCATTGTGGGGGGGAAAAATGGGTAGAAAGGAACAGTATTTCTAAACCCAGTCTGCTCACCTCTGCTGCAAGAGAGATTTGTTCCTCTGACTGGTGATACTGGGTGTCATCATGGGAACTTGAAAAATCAGATGTTTCTAGCAGAGCACCTCTGGAGCACACTGGACCCTTGTTGCAATTGGAGCAAAAAAATACAACATTGCTTGACTGAAATGAAGCAGAGCACTTGGTGCATTTTACGGTCTTCTTTCCCTGACTGAGATCAGTCATCTGTTCAGTGTTATCAAACTTGATGTGCAAATTAAATGGCAGCACAAAGACTGGCAGGAAAACGTCTCCACTGTTGAAGGAAGAAGAAAAAAGTTAAGGAGAAGAATGTGAAGGTCACAATTTGTGAATCTGTGGCACAAAAAACCTTATGTTCTTATTATGAATATCTCCCGCACTGACTAGGAACTAGTTGAAACTGGACTGTGCAGCAGATCTGGAAAAACAGAAGTTGTAGTTAAGAAAATTATCCTCGATCTTTTCTATCCAAACCTGGCACATTAGGGGAATTGCAGAATTTTTCCTATTCCCAGAACAAGATTGTTTTCCACATTTATTTTCTAGATGTTTCTTTTTTTATAAAAGGGATATAAACACATTTATTAAAATATTTCAAAATACTTAATTAAATCTGTAAAGTGGCTGATTTGGATTAAAGCAACAAATATTAATTTCTGCTTTTAGCTGGCACTGTGGGAAGTTATACATTGGCTTTGCCAAAATGGGGAGGCCCAGCGATAAGCAAGGTCTGCTGGATACTTGTGTATTTCTTGATTCACATGGGACCCACTGCATTTGGTGAAGATACTCTCGTTAAAGGAATATACTCTCTAGTTAACTGTACCCAAGATTGTATTTCTTCAGAAAATAGAGATGAAATTCTCAACATATATTCTATAGATCATCTCATCTGAAGTGGGTTTTGCACACAAAAGCTAATGTTCCTTCTTGTTGATCACCCTAGGAATCCTAATATTAGGATACTATGTCTGATAATATAACTGGGGTATTTTTAAGTCCATTAGTTCCTTTCCTGTCCCTCATTAAAGTTCTCTTCTTTAAGAACACATTGCTGTCACACTAATAATAAAGAGCCCCTAAATTTAGCATAATAATAAAGAGTATATTCTCCTTTGATGTACTGCTTTTTTACTGAGAGATCTTTTAATCTCACCAGATAAGAAAAAGACACTAACCTTGCACAGAATCCATGGTTCTTTGAGATGCATGTCTCTGTGGGTGCTCCATTATAGGTGTGTCTTCATTCCTGTGCTTCTGATTAGAGAACTTTGGTAGCAGTGTCTCTGCCGCCTACATATATGCTGTTCCTTGCCTGGCAATCCCTCCTCAGTTCCTGCTCTACCACAGAGTCCATTGCTAGAGCTCTGATGTAAAGGGGGAGGAGGATGGAGTATGGCACTCCCATGAGTACATACATCACCAAGAACCATCATTACTGCACAAGAGAGAGATCTGACCATGCATAATACCCGGTTTGTACAGCTAACAACAGCTAATGGATTAGCTATCCCTGTTGTGGGGTGCCTTGGGGTATGTCTACACTACAAACGTCCGTTAGTTCGAACTAACTTTCATAGGCGCTACACTAGCGCTCCATTAGTTCGAATTTAATTCGAACTAACGGAGCGCTTAGTTCGAACTAGGTAATCCTCATTCCACGAGGATTAAGCCTAGTTCGAACTTACTAGTTCGAATTACGGGCTGTGTAGACCCTTAATTCGAACTAGTGGGAGGCTAGCCCTCCCCAGCTTTCCCTGGTGGCCACTCTGGACAACACCAGGGAAACTCTACTGCTCCCCTCCTGGCCCCGGACCTCTTAAAGGGGCACGGGCTGGCTACGGTGCCCGTGCCAGGTGCAAGCCTGCCAGCACCCAACCAG